TCTCAAACTCCTGAGCTCAAACGATCCGCCCGCCTCAGCCTCCCAGAGTGCTAGGATTACAGGCATGAGCCACCATGCCCAGCCATAATAATAGCTTTTAATGTGAAAAATAGAAGAGATCCTACATGAATGTGCTCAAGTTGTTTAGTTAAGTAGCATTAAGCAAATTTAGTAATTTTACTCTTTTAGTTAAGATCTATAATTGCTCCTTATTACCAAAAGGATAAGTACTCAACTCATTAGGGTATAAATTTCTTCATGATTTTGTCCTTGTCAACATCTCCAATCTCACCTTCCATGTGTGCCTATGCAATAACTCCATGGACCTACTTAACAGTGCTGTAAGAGAAGATTAGAATTGTCAGTATCCTTGGCAATGTTTTTAATTTTCACAGAAGCCCACCCGTCTCAATGAGTTGCAACTAATTAGCTCCATTTTATAATATGAGAAATGTGTTACTATCTGCTAAAATGATACCAAAAATCATTATATGTAATGACCTATGACTAAAGAGATATATGTATGTTCTTCACAATCCTACTAATGCAGTATAAAAGTGAGGAGGCCTCTCAATAAGAGAGACAAATGGACCATTTCCCATTAATGGCAGCATTAGTCAGCAAGCATTCTTGAAGCAGAAAGCAAACAATGTCTTTGTTACCATTTTAGGTAAACTAAATGAATTTTAAGGGACAAATTAACATTTTAAAATCATATATCACCTATTTGCTCCATAGGCATGTGGCTGATAATATAAGTAATTTTTGGAATTTATTAATTTTAATCAAATAAATATTAATTATAAAGCTCATGATCACTCTCTTGTATTTGGGGTACTAAATAGCTTATAAATTGAATAATAATTTTGAAAACACTTATATAGAAATAGATTTTTCTCATTCCATTGTTTCAATAAACGTCAGTTAAGGAAAGATATGGGCACACACCTAGTAGTTTTCATTTGAGGTTTTCATATATTTATTTTAAAAACTGATAAATATTGTCAAAGTTCTAGACTACTCCATAACCTGTAAGTAAATAAAGATAATTGCCTTTGAGTTTTCCTGAATGTAGGTTTATGTAGAATGTAAAGTGTAACAAAAGTTCATTAAGGTCATATATCATATGATGTGGATTTAGTGCACTGAGATTCCACATTGTGTAGCTTCTCCCAGTCCATTTTTTCACTCTTACCTTTGAACAACTCTAGATTGACTTTGTTTATTTTATCAAGAAGTGGTAGAAGGCATACCCCAGTATTAGGATTCAAATATCTGAATAACTCTGGAAATACAACACTGTTTTAGTACAAAACCACAGAAACGAGGACTCAGGAACTCATGCATTTCCAGCACTTAATCTCATCAATCACATTATAAAAGATTCCAGTTTTGTATATGACCAGGTGAAATTAATCTTAAGTGAAATTACATTAAAAATACACATCTATCAGTCAAACAATTTGAAGTTATGTCACAGAATTAATCATTTCTGTCATGGCCAGCAAAATTAAACATTTTTATATTAATCTATATCTTAAAATCAGAAATAAAGTTGAACTCTAAAATATCATTTCTCAAGTATTTGAAATATAGGTTTTTAACAAACAAAGATTTGTTGAAACTCATCAAACCTCAAACCTAATACTATCTGAAATTCTGATACATTTCTTGAGGGTTAGGAGGCATATTTTTAGCAAGTATTGCTTTATCATCTTTGTTTCCTAGCATCTAGCACAGTGCTTAAAACATAGTTATATTCAATAAGTGATCTGCTACGCTAAATTATTAGAATATGTTTAATATACAAAAGTATCTACAAGTATATGCACAAATTGTCAAAAATGAAATAAACCAACCTTCATATAAAAATAAACTACAAATATATAGAAAACATATCTAAAATTTTTCTCTAGAAAGAAAACATTCTCTAGAAAATGACATACATAAAAACTGTTGCCTTAGTCAGCTTTAGCTATGTCACACTGACATTCTGTCCGGAGCCATGAGGCCCCGCAGCTGCTTACCAAGCCCACGCATTTGCAAAAGCCCGCGGAAGAGCTTGTAAGTTTCTATTTACCCATTATAACTATGTAGCCCTTGAAAGCCCCTGAGGGTTTCCTTATATAGAAATCCTCTGGCTGGAAAGCCAGAGCCTCGGAAAGCACCGCCCCTTTACTGTTACTCTTTCTGCCTTACTTAAGCCTCTGCCTTCCTGCCAATAAACGAGACTTGATCAGACTCCTGTCTTGTCTCCATTTCTTGTGTCTCCTGCCTCTCTCAATTCCCACTCCCTCCTCCAGGGTCCGCGTTGACTACCCCGCGGGCCGGGACAACATTCAATCATGCCTACATTTAAAACTTACAGGCAATCAAGCACAATGCAAGAGATCAAAGTTTGACCATGAGTATAAACATAAAAATTACATGAAACAAACCTGAATTTCATACACAGCCATATAACGTATTTGCCAAGAAAATTCAAAGATTTTTTTGCCTTTGAGAATTTTATATTTGCATTTTCTACACCATTTGCAGCAAGTGTACTTTGCTCAGCCTAATTATAGAAAGCACATTCAGTGCTATGAAATTTCCATAGAAAAAAATCCCATTTACATTCTAGAGTAATTTTATAAATTATTTCTTTTAAATTCATTATTTCTTTCAATTCATCAAAGAATTGAAATGTTTTTAATGCTTAAAAATCCAGCATCTCTTTTTAGCATTTTTACAATATGGCAGCTACTGTAATATCAATTCTTTTTTTACATTATTTAAATCATCAGCTATATTATTTGAAAATATTCTTAAAAATAAGAGTTGCTGCATATTGTCTCAATAATATTGATATGTGATTAATGTTTACTGTAATGAAAACATTTTTGCTTAGCAAAGTGATAATCTGTTAATTCCAACTTGAATAATTAATACCAATTGTTTTCATATTTTAGCATCCAAAAACAATTACTGTACCCCTCAAACAAGTGCAAATATACACATATTTTTCTCAATCTCACTCTATAACGTGAAGATCTGAGAATCTCTTTACAAGTGTATATAACATAACTAATGTTTTTTGTTACTTATGCAATTGAATTTCTTTAAATACTAATGTCTATTTACTAAATTCTCCTAACTACTACTACTTCATATTCAACAATTTACAAAATCATGAATCAAGCCTTGAAGTGAAATGGCCTTGACTCACTGGTTTTATGTCCTTGTCCATAGAGTGCTATTTACAATTAGTTCTGGCACTAAAATGAGTTGTTTACATTTTGTGCAAGTCTGAAAATGCTTTAGGCTGGGCATGGTGGCACGCCTGTAATCCTAGCACTCTGGGAGGCCAAGGCGGGAGGATTGAGCTCAGAAGTTTGAGACTAGCCTGAGCAAAGTGAGACTACTGTCTCTACTAAAAAAGGAAAAAAAAAAATTAGCTGGGCAACTAAAAGTAGAAAAAGTTAGCTGGGTGTGGTGGTGCACGCCTGTAGTCCCAGCTCTCCAGGAGGCTGAGGCAGGAAGATTGCCTGAGCCCAGGAAATTGAGGTTGCTATGAGCTAGGCTGAGGCCACGGCACTCTAACCTGGGCACTAGAGCTAGACTGTCTCAAAAAAAAAAAAAAAAAGCTTTAATTTCAGAAACAGCATCTTAACTCTTAGAATGAAAACCACAGGACATCATTATTATTACCAAATAAACGCACTAATGGAAGCATTTATTCTCAAAAGGCACAGTTATATACATCATTTTGCACAGAAAAAATCAAAACATATCAACAAGATATTATTTCTCACTTTATATTAACCTGCATTAATATGACAACTGTCTTGGTTTTGGGTATCCAGACAAAAAAATGAAAAGAAGACATAAATAATATATATGCTTTATAATCACTTAAAATTAGGTAGTAAAAAACAGTGACTATAAGAAATAATTATGCCACATCATTTTGAAAAAAATACTAACTTATCACTTCACTGTGCTTCCATTATGTCTCATATTTTAAAGCCAGTTTTAAAAATAATAATTACAAGTGTTTCAGGGACCTGCCAAAGCTCTCTTTGTTGTGACATGTCATACACATAAAATGCTTATTACTTATTCCCCTCATCAAAAATTCTAAGACCCCCAAAAATATATCCATAACCATTTTTTGATTCTATACACCCTCATATAGTGGTTACATCCCCATTTCAATAGAAACCCAGTTCATTTGTGATTTTCAAGTTCAACTTGGTGACTTCTGGAAGCTACAAAAGAGCATAAGTTAGCTATTCTCTTTTCCTTTACTACGTCCTTTATCCTCTCCTACTCCCACAGGCCTCTCTGTTTGCAAGAACTCACACAAGACTATTAAGTTTCAAGTTATCTTATTGTTTCTGTGAAATGTGATGGTGGATTGGCTTTGCACTTACTGAGATATACATAGCAGAAATTTCTAACTACATAATTCCAACTGTCTTTTCTTTTCTCTCTTTTTTTTTGAAATATACATTTTGAATCTTTATTTCCTTTACTATCCGATTTACTGGGCTCATCTTTTTCCTATTCCTTATTAGAATCATTAAATGTAAAGTTGAAAAGGAGCTCAAAAATTATCTTCCTAGGAATCTGCGAACATAACTTCACATGACCAGTGTTAAATTTCACATCCCTGCCTCTACTCACTAAACCTGATGCGATTAACAATTTCAACTATCTAATATGAAAATAAATTCTAAAACACAAATAGATCTAGAGCAGTAATAACAGGAAATTTGCACTTTGGCTAATATCAGTAAAGAGAAGGATTTTTTTTTAATGAGCTTGCATCCACAAACTATCAGAGAACTACCAAGCTTGAAGTTTTACTTAAAACTTAACTAAGAGATTCAACAGAGGCCCCTGAAAGTATTGATGATGCGGTACATACTAAAGTATTATACAGAAAATGAGCTTATTTTATCTTGTCCATACAAGAAGTTATTAAATGATGGGGGTAGGATAAAACGTACGACTGAAAAGACTGTCTCCTGCATGAAAGTGCAGCTATTTCCTCTGAATTACAAACCAAATTTGCTAATTCATTAGCTTCCACCCTGATGGACAGAAATGATGGGATTAGAGTAACAGGTATGTGGAGAGTGAGAGAGAGAGAGAGAGAGAGAGAGAGAGAGAGAGAGAGAGAGTGTGTGTGTGTGTGTGTGTGTATTTGAGACATATCATTAGTAATTAAATTAAGCGAATGGAGGAGACATTTAAAAAAATAGTTAATTGAGGAAGAATTAAGAAAATGAATCAGCTAAGTGTTATATTTTCAATTACATTTAGTTTAACTAACCTAAAGGTCTATAAATATTACAATAGTAAAATGACAGACCTTGTGACTACTTCACAAAAATTCTTTTCTTATTTTCTTCCTCAATTAGAAATATCTTCTATTCACCTGTTCGCTGCATGCAGGCTTTCAGCTTCCCGCAGTAAACGGAAAGGCAAAGTATGGCAATGGGCCTTTTGAAACCAAAAGAAAAGATTGTCACTCCCAAACTACCAGCTATTTCCCTTTTGAATACAAACATACTATTTGAAGTAATTCATTTAGCTTTTTCTAAAGGCACCTTGTGTAACCTTGCAAGTGGTGATTTGTAATGTGGCAGGCTGTTATCAGGCAGCTACAATATTTTACCTCGGCTCCATAAAGAGCAGCATTATTCTAAAGTTCATTCATACAGAAACATTTCTGGGGAGGTATTCTCCAAACTCAGTTCATGTTTATTCATTTGTTGATGGAGGGGGAAGGAGGAGGTTGGGTAGACAAACCATCTTCCTCCTCACTTATTTGATTCATTCCAACTCACAAAGGACTTTCACGTTTTATCTGTACACACAGCCAAAAAAGGATTAAAATAATCTTACAATATAGTATCCTATGCATTGCAGTGCCTGCACTGGAGTACTTCTCATTCTTTTGGCTTCAGTGCACATCTGTCCACCTTCCAAGAGCCAGGGCCTATGTGCATTTCTTGCTTTAGGTCTGTATCTGGCTTTCAAAGTCTGCTTTTTGCCCCTACATGACAAGCATGAAATATCAGGAAATTAATGCCTCCTAGGAGCTGCTGTCAACCTATGGCTGATGAAATTTGGTGTAAATACCTTATTTTCCTCACCCCTCCACTGATTTACTGTATGTTTTACTCTGGCTCCCAAAATTTCCCAGTATGATTAAGCACCAGTTTCCTATAGTAGTAACTTGCTTGAAAACAAATCCTTTGTTGGAGTTTTTTTGTTGTTTTTTTTTTTTTCAGCTCTAGTTTCCCCATTTCCTGAGATCACCTCCAAAATAAATTACTTGCATTTCAAGTAATTTGTCTTAAGATCTACTATTTCTGGAGGAATTTGTAAGACATACGCACCTCTTTCTAAATAAGTTTGGACCTAACTTCAGCCAAAATGAAATATTTACCCTAACTTTCTAGCAAGAATAAAGATGTTAACAGATAATAGCTGTACTCTTTGTGCTTACTTCTATCTCCTAGGATTAGTAGAGTTTGAAAAGGAAAAGTTTTAAGCAATGGTTTACATTATATATAGGTGTTTTAAATTAATACACAATTATAATTAGACTTACACACATTCAAACAAAGAAAAATATCTTCTCTTTAGAAATTAATAAAGTTCCTTTGGCATTTTAGTTAGTTTCAGCCTGGTAATTAGTGGCAGCACAAGTAAGTTTCTATGTTCCAATACTCAGTGCCTGTTTTTAGGGTAACCCAAACTAAAACAATATAAGAGATTGCTATTATCCTAGGACCAGTTCTGTTTTTCCTTAGTCAATGTTCTTTTGGTTGCAAATAACATAAACCAACTGAAGCCATCTTAAATTATAATTAGAAATGAACATATCTCAGAAAAATTCTGGGGTTTCTCAAGGGACCAAGGTCAGCTAGGCCTCCTGAAAGACTTTCTTGGAAGGACCCTGGAAACCAAGGAAACTCTCTCTCATCTCTGCCTCACTCTGTACATCTGCTTTGTTCTGTCTGAAGATTAGGCCTATAGCTGTATAGTTTACATTTCATCTGAATTAAAGAATCAGCCCTAAGTGGTTTGCTTCCTCTCAGTTTAATAGCCAGTTCTCACCAGAAAGAGTCTGGTAGCCATTCTGAGACACTGGGCTATAGCCAGGTGAATGAGGGTCTGTAATACCGGTGCTCAAAGAAGGGGGCTGAGGTTCTGAAAGGGGTCAAAGCAAACCTGAAGAATCTCCTGAAAATCTTGTAACACATCAATTATATAATAATAACAGGGACTAGAAAGTGAACCGTATCTAAGAAAGCTGTACTTATTGTTCATTTCTAACCGGGAGTGGTCAAAATGAGCATAGAGTACTAATGATAAACATTAAATGCACCTAAGATTTTATTCTCTCCTATTTCCCCCTGTGGATCTTAAATTATTATTGCAAAAGTTTGATACATATATAAAAAGGCTCTTTTTAGGGATCTAAATATCTCTATAGATTACTATTTAATATAAAATCATACATTCTTGTGCTTAGATAGATTTCAAAATTGTTTTCCCTTTATGGTAATTTAAGGAATTATTGTCCAATAGTATGAAATTGCAAAAACATAAGATAAAATAGATATTCATAGGTCACCTAATCAAAACTTCCATTTCTAAGAAAGTATCAATATGTAGCTTTAGAAGAAAACAAAATATTTTTCTTTCTCTCATAACTTTCTATAGGAGATTCTAAATACCTCCATGGGAACACATTTTGGTACTTCATAATTCTATGTTATTTGATGGCATCTAACTCCATTTTTCTTCCTGTCCTAAATGTAAACAAAAATTCTCCACTGCAAACCTACTTCTAAACCATATTCTATAGGTTCATTTTCTTTTGGGAGTAGTAGCCTTCCTGCCCACACAAACACACTTCTCTGAGAATTACCTTGTCAAATGTCAGCACTGATGTAGTCTGTCAGTCTAGATCATTGTTAAATCTTCTTTTTGGTTATTAGTGTTGGCGTGATGAGTACATACATGTTTACTAAATGATAGTGGTTTGGTGCTTTAGGGATAAGTGTAAAGTCACCAGGCACTTATGCCCTCAAGCAATTTCATAAACTTCATGTCACATTTCAGGGTGATAGCAATGCTGGCAGTTGATACGCCATTGAAGATCAAGTGATAAGGTGAGCTATCACTGTGGCTGCAGATGTAGGTCTGTTGTTAGTCTACAGTACATCTACTTTACCAACAGTAGGAATGCCAATTTTGTTTCTGTGCAATATATTTTTTCTTACAAAAATAGAAAAAGAATATGACCTACTATCTAAAATTATACAGTCCTTTTTAATGGAAATGTTTAATGTGCGTACTATTTCCTCTGTTTGACACTAGAGCCTACTTTGCTACTTGGGACATTTGCAATGCTTAGGTTTTGCTAGATACGACCACCGCTCATTAGCAGTAAATACCTTATATCTTTATTGGTAGAATGCTATACTTGTCAAATTCAGTGAACACCACGGCCTCTACAATGTCAGTCTTCTTCTCAATTATAATAAGTAGAGTGTATTCATATATTTTTCAAGGATTATGGTCTAAATTCAGAAGGAAAAGCAAAAATTTTATATAGTTATATGTAAGTTTAAAGTACAGTATAAACATGTCATGCTTAATAATTCTAAGACAGCCACTGTTTCCTTTAGTATTGAAATAGATATATGGAGTGTCAATACTGCAAGGTAATTCAAATATTCTTAAACATTATAAAAACACTATAATCTTTATTTTGCAATATTTTATATATTTAAACTTATACCTTCACAGTATTTACATCATATTTTTAACACTTTATATCCAACAGTGAGATGAGAAAGATCTTTTCAGTAAATGATGCTGGAAAAATTGGATATTAAATTTTTAAAAAAAACCTTGGACTTCGTATTAACACCATATGCAAATATTACTTCTAGATGGGACATAAACCTATACTTAAAAGCTAAAACCATAAAACTTCTAGAAGAAAACACCAAGGATACCTATGTGACACTGATATAGGCAAAGATTTCCTGGAGAGGACACAAGCACAACTAACCATAAAGAAAAAACTGACAAATTAGACTTCAGCAAAATTAATAACTTCCGCACTTCAAAAGACAAGAAAATAAAAGCTATGCCACATATTGAGTGGAAATATTTGCAATTCATATTTTTAACAAAGGATACAAATCCAGAATAAACAAATAACTTCTACAACAATGAAAGACCGACCCACAGTCCCATTAAAAATTTGTCAGCATTCTAAGCAATCATTTCAAATAAGAATATATATATAAATGTCAAAAAATGAAAGCATGCACAACATCATTAATCATCAAGGAAATGCAAATTAAAACCACAGTAAGTTACCACTTCAAACTACTAGAATAGCTGTTGTTAAAAAGACTGTGAACTTCAAATGTTGGCAAGTAAGTGCAACAGCCAGAATTTTCACGTATCACTGGTAAGAGCG